TCCTGCAGCCCCCCACAAAGTAGTGCTTCTGATTTGGGGTACTAATGCTGTTATTTCCTTGCCCTAAATATTCGCCCAATAAGCGATCAAGTGACTACAGACATAGTAGAAGCTCAGGGTCAGAACGAAGGAGAAGATACAAGGACAGGAGACCGATTGGCATCTTAAGTAAGATGGTGGAGGCACCAGTCTTTCCCTTCCAACCCTCTCTCTGCTTGCAATGGAGCTGGACCAGAAATGCAAACTCCAGGGCCTATGACACTCCTGCACGTGGTGCGCTCAGTGACTGGTACTCCGGGGACCCGAAGCTAAACCCTTGGAAGAATGAGGTCACAAATGCTGCGGGTGCCATTGCCGGTCCCCCCTTACCCTCTGCCCACACCATCACAGGTGTGGCAAAATGGCGACCACAGCAGGCGTGAGGAGGAGGAGAGAGAGGAAGCAAGGAAATGGCTCAGGGCAGAGTGTTGGTGACCAGCACCCAGTTGCGGAGTGAGGGTTTGCCTTTGCCCCTGGCTTCTGAATGGCGCATGGCACAGAAGCGCTGAAAATAAGGGAGGCCCCCACCCAGTGGTGCTTCAACAGCCGTGCACCCTGGGGGCTGCTGCCGACTCCTGGAAACCAGAAATAGAGTGAGGGGAGAAGGGATGGATACAGGAAAAGAGCTCGATTCAGACTATAGCCTTGTGGATACCACTCCTGGCTGGAGACTCATTGCCAATATCTGCCATTTAATAAAATTGACCAAAGAATCGGCATCTTTATTTCTTGTTATGCTTTTTTTTAAATTCTAATCTTTTGCTGTTAATTAGAATTGATGATTATTGTAGTACTCTTTAGACTGTGATCGTTTTTACAAAATACTGACCATTCTCTCTCCAACGTCACCCCCTCCCAGAATCTGGGTTATAATTAGGCAATACGTCATGTCCTAGAGAATAGTTCAGATTCACAGGCCATACAAATAAATAGTGAGTACATGTGTCTATTTTTAAGTAAGATACTGACATTATTGTAAATAAAGCAAGACACATTGTTCTATTCTAATTTGAGATAACAAACTTCACTCAAAATTTTTGCTGACAGTTGATAGACATAGGATGGTAGCTTATAATCAGAGCCAGGATTTAAATCACTCAGTATTAATATATATATATATATATGAAATTCCTTAGCCTACCAGGCTTCTGTTTTCTCATATGCAAGATGATATAACACATATTTAATGTGATGATGTGTGAATCAGTTGGAGAACATTATCAAAATCATTCAGAATAGTTTCCATCATTTTAAAGCATAATTAAAATGTTTGTTACTTTGACTACAGTGTTTTGTCTAACATTTATTGGTTGACATCATTTTGTGGTTTGTTTTAGCTGGTTGTTTTGCTGTGCTAGGGAGCAAACCTGAATTTGATACATGTAAGCCATGAGCTCTACCCCTGAGCTACAAGTATCATTTTGATATGCACTGAACTGTTTAGTCACTGTTATTATCTATGTACACTGCATCACTTTTAGATCAAAAGTATCTCCAGAGCAATATCTGTTTTGTCTAAAATTCCTTTGAGTCCTGGGGCTGGAGAGATAGTACAGCGGTAGGGCATTTATTTGCCTTGCACGCGGCCAACCCGGGTTTGCTTCCCAGCATCCCATATGGTCCCCTGAGCACCGCCAGGAGTAATTCCTGAGTGCAGAGCCAGGAGTAACCCCTGTGCATAGCCAGGTGTGAGCCAAAAAGCCAAAAAAAATAAAATAAAATAAACAGTAAAACTAGAATATTAATTCAAGGTATTAATAAAGACAAATTTCCAGGTCTAGCAAAGGCATAACCATAAAACCCAAACTATATATGGTTTTCCTCTCTAGTACCCACTCCAAATTGGAAAATACCAATTTGGGTCTAGAATATAGTAAAGAAAATAAGATATTTTCACACAATAATTCTTTTATGACATAAAGAATTAAAGTTTAATGATTTTTATCATAACTAACAAAAGATACTATAGGAGCAAAGGTGAGATAGTCTGGAAAGTCAGTAAATGTGTGGAAAATTGATACAGCCTTACTAATAGCAGGTAAAATGTTAAGTCAAAATGAATTGGCATTTAAAAATATAAATAACTATAAATTAATAAAAATGATAGTTCAGGGGCTGGAGCGATAGCAGAGCAGGTAGGGCATTTGCCTTGAATGCAGATGACCTGGGTTCGATTCCCAGCATCCCATATGGTCCCCTGAGCATCGCCAGGAGTAACTCCTGAGTACAGAGCCAGGAGTAACCCTTGTGCATCACCAGGTGTGACCCAAAAAGCAAATAAATAAATAAATAAAATTCCTTTGAGTCCTAACATACATAAGGTGATTTTAGAAACTTCCAAAATAAATTACTTGCCATATAGTCTCATTAACCAGCCTCTCCCTATTCATCTCCCCTTCTTCCACTTCCCCTTGCGTCTTCCCAGAATTCACTTACAAATGCACCGCTCACCCATACTTCATGCTCTATAGCACTGTAGCACTGTCCTCCCGTTTTTCACCAATTTGCTTGAGCGGGCACCAGTAACGTCTCCATTGTGAGGCTCCATTGTTGTTGCTGTTATTGGCATATCGAATACACCACGAGGAGCTTGCCAGGCTCTGCCATGCGGGTGAGATTCTCTCGGTAGCTTGCTGGGCTCTCCAAGAGGGACGGAGGAATCAAACCTGGGTCTGGTGCATGCAAGGCAAATGCCCTACCTGCTGTGCTAGCATTCCAGCTCAATGCTCTATAAACAATATTTTGTCTTTCTGTTTTTGCTTTTGGATACCAGCCGTGTTCAGGGGCTGCTCCTGGTTCTGTGTTGGGGTCTCTCCTAGGAAACCATATAATACTGGGCATATTCAGGAGACCATGTGATACTGGGCATTGATTCCAGGCTCCCCACATGCCAAACATGAGCTCTTCCACTTGAGCCATCTCTCCAATCTCTCTCTCTCTTTTCTTTTTAATTGCACTTTGGCCCAACTAGTTTGTCAAATAAATTTTCTTGTCCAACTTATTTGTCAAGCGCATTCTTGTCATACCGAGCTAAATTACATATAAAGAAGTCTCCCTCACTACCTCTTAACACTAGCCAATGATCCCACAGTGCACATTACCCTGTTTTCTCTCCCACTGTGTTACTGAAACACTCTCCCAAGAATATTGGTTTCCTCTCTATCACAAATCCAGAAATGTTTCCTCTACACTTGATATTCTTTGTAGTCCTTGAGTCCGATGTGACTACTTCTCCTGGTTATAGTTTAAATGCTCAGGCAATGAACTATGAAAAGATGCAGACCTCAGAGGTCTTTAAATAGCATCATTTAAAGAGGCTAGTGTCTATGAAATTTAAATCACCAAGAGAAGTGCCTGTGCTCTTAGAATCTACAACATTTGCCATAATCTTATATAAATAGGGTGGGGATGTGTGTGACTCAATGACACTAAAGCTACATATAATTCTCCTAGTAATGACTAGTAATAATATGATTAGTCATTTTAATATGCATTTAATGTATGCAAAAGACATTCAATGAAAAAAGCAGAAAATATGAAAGTACATGTTTCCTTCCAAAGAAGACACATAAATGGTCAAAAATACATGGAAAGGGTGCTCAAAATGTGCTCATAATCATAAAAGTAGTGCAAATAAAAGCCATAATTAGACGTTTCCTCACACCCGTTAGAAGAGTGTTGGATATGTCCTCACACCTGTAAATATGTGAAGGGTCATTATTAAAGACAAAAAATAATAAGTGTTGGTGAGAACATAGATAAAAAGAAACTGTGCAATTCTTGTGAGAATGTCAATTGGAGGATATTAACATTATGAAAAACAGTATTGAGATTATTCATATAAAAATATCACTACTATGCAATTAATCTAGCAAATATGATATACACACAATGGGCTGTTATCCAGACATTTAAGAGATGAAATTTAACCACAAACTCATTATGCTGTTAAATAGGTCAAAAGAAGTCAGATAGAAAAAGACCAATATATTAGCTCTCTCATATGTGCAATCTTTAAAAAAAATAAAAAGCTTTATAGATACAGAGAATAATTGGTACAAGAGGTACAAGATTTTAATTATAAAAGTATTAGAGATGGAGCAATAGTACACCGGGTAGGGTGCTTGCCTTACACATGGTCAACGTGTGTTTGATCCCTGACATTACAAGTGATCACTGAGTGCACAGCCAGGAGTAAGTCCTGAGCACAGCTAGGTGTGGCCACACAACAAAACAAAAAAGTCACAGGAATGTAATAAACAATATGATGATTAATAATATCTCATTGTATATTTGAAAATTGCTGAGTATATCTTAAATGTTATCATAAGAAAAAAGTTTTAACTATCTAAGGTGACAGGTGTTGATTATATTTAATGGTGATGTTCATTCTTTAATAGAAACAAACATGGAATTATGTTATATGTTTGAAGAAAACATAAGGCTCTACATCAAATTATGTACCTCAGCCAAAAAAAAAAATTAAAAAAATTTAAGTGAAACGCAGGCAGGTCTTTTTCTTAACCTGCTGCCAAGGAGGAATTAGGAAGCAAGAGAGCACTTCCACCTCCTAGAGGACAAGGGTGCTACTTCAGAACCTTAGAATGCCTCTTTGATGCCTGAGTTCAGGCAAGAATACCCACTGCTCTGAAACTGATTCTCCCAGGAATCTACTTTCCCTTAAAAGTCACCATCTAGAACAGAGTGGAAAAGCCTTTTGTCCCCATATTCTCAGCTGTCATCACCATCACAATGTAATGGAACCAGTACTCACAAACAACATTACTAGACACTCTTCCACTCAAATATCCCAGCCTATCCCCCATATGATGAGAAAAGTAGCATGCCCCCTGAAGCATCCCACACATCTCTGACTCAGCTCCCTGTCTTCCCACTGCACTCTGAGTTTGGTATGCCCCTGTGCTATATATTTTTGTGCCTAAGTACCAGAAGATTGAACCATGGTGTTTGCTAAGCAAATATCAGTGAAGCTCTGTTGCTTGCTCCTCCATTATGAACAAGGAGCCTATGACCATGCATTTATAAGAGCAGGCAAAAGGTATTTGAATGTCAGACAAGTATTCCTTCGCAAACTCATAACTAAAAATGGTGGTGAACAACTTTACTACGGCCAATTAGATGCAGGACTATGTTGCAGGCATAGTCGTCCAGTGGTGGTTAGTGGGAAATCTACAACAGTGCCCCTTTATCACCAAGTCTGAACCATGATCCAATCATCAGATCACCAGCTTTTTGGTGGGTCCTTTGACAAGCCATCTGGAAGTGGGCCCCTAGGCCATCTAATAGTACCCAAAGACCCTGGACAACCCCAGTGTAATTGCGCTGATACTCTGCATTTGACATACAAATAGTCGAGGCACAGAAAACCTGTTGCATATTGATCTTCCGGCATGCTATAATATGCCTCAGATGCTCCTTGAGCACCTTTCAGGTCTGACCTGCTGAATACTGAGCTGAAACTCAAGCAGGACCTCAAAGGTCTCAACATTGGAACAGATACTCGATGCCCAAAGCTACATGTACAGCAGCTAGAAAATCAGCTATGTCCATGTCCAGCAGACATCCACAACAGCATATATGTCCCATTCTAACACATCACCATTGTCAGTGGTGCTTATGAGAATCTCCTACGTGTCTAGGATATCAATGCCAAGCAGCGGATAATGTCATTGTCAGGCCACATCAACATGCTTGCAGGGATGTTGTCTCAAGTTCAGAGCCCCAAATCTTTCCCATGTCCTATAATCAAACCCATGTAGGCAATCTGCCCCAAGACATTGTGAATGGGATGGAAATGTCCCCAGACGCACTTTTCTCAGGAATTAATAACAACACCAAGAAAGATTGGAATCACCAATGAAGAATCCAGGCCAGGTTAGGGCTATTTCTGTGCCCACCTTCAACCTGTCTAAGCCAAAATTGTCACAGAGATCATCTCAGATCTCAGCACACTCTGTGCAACAGGTAGGTAGGCTAAGCCAGTCAGGCAGGGCCCCTGCCCTATGTCCAGTCAAGCCTCCCTCTTATTGTACCTAGCATTGTTAATTTCAGGATAATGCCTATTGTCCTGTCCCCAAGTACCAGGTAAAATGCTTAACCAGCTCTCTTCATTCTTACCCCAAATGGAGTGAAAGCCTTTTTTTTTTTTCACATTTTGGTTGCTTTTTCTTTTTTTTTTCTTTTTTTAAATTTTTATTAGTGAAACACCATGAGGTACAGTTACAAATTAGACTTACAAATTTTTGTGCTTGGGTTTCAATTATACAATGTTCGAGTACCCATCCCTCCACCAGTGCCCATCTCCCAACACCACGGGTCCCAGTATCCCTCCCGACCCCCATCTCCCCATCCTACCTTGGCTCTGTGGCAGGGAATTCCCTTTTTTTCTCTCTTTCTCATTTTGGGTGTTGTGGTTTGCAAAAGAGGTAATGAGTGGCAATCATGTTTGGTCTATAGTCTACTTAGAGCATGCTTCTCCCATCCTGGGAGGATCCTCCCAACACCCTTCATTTGGTGCTCCCTTCTCTATCTGAGCTGCCTTTTCCCCTAGCGTTTGCGGCTGGCCTCCAGGCCATGGAGTGAACCTCCTGGTACTTTTCTCGGCTATTCTTGTGTGTTAGTCTCCTATTTTGTTTATTAACCTTTCTGACTCTGCCTAGACTGCAGATTACTTTCGGGTGGAAATCAAAGGTCCAGACTGTGAAGAATAGGATAAAACCTATTATGGATAAAAATATTATTTATATTGACTTCATTAAGAGTTTTTGTTTTGGGCTCACACCTGGCAGTGCTCAGGCCTTACTCATGGCTTTGTGTTAAGAGACCACTGCTGGTTGTGCTCAGAGGATCACATGTGTTTCTGAATGAAGAAGCCAGGTCAGCCACATGCAAGACCTTAATTGCTGTGCTAACTCTCTGGCCCCATTAAGATATTCTTTTGTTACCTACTTTTAGATGTTCTGCTTACAGTTCTTTTTAGAGGGTTTATATCTGTTTATTCTGCATTACTGTATTTCTTGCCAAGGCATTGGAGAAGGATAAAGAGAGACAGGAAGATCTCTTAACAGAGCTTTGCGAGGAAGACTGGCCTGCTTTGTCTCCACAAGAAAAAGGGGGTCATTCAAGTCCTCCCAATGCCAGATCTCAACGAGAAGGTCCGCACAAAAATAATGAAGGTGGATGAGGATGCCGGACTTCTGGCCCTGAGTAGCTATCATTCACAGTCTCATTAAAACTGCCAACCTGTGGTCCTACAAATGCCTCCCTGTATTTCTGCCCTTTGTATTCAGCTTTTGTCAGATTCCATCTGTCGTTTTTTCCCCTCATTATGCCTGAGGCAGCCCTTCTTTTGTCTAATCCTGTAGTCTTTAGCTGGTTGCCAAAGTGAGATAATCTGGAGGGTAAATGCAGAAGACAGGAGTCCACCTTAGACCGGACAAGCGATGGTACCCTTGTGCTTCTGTGCATTATACCCCTCCTTTTTCAGATGTGAGAATGATGGAAAGGAAATTCTCTGAGACATGGGGTGAATTTGTATTAACAAGAAAAACATAATTCAAGACTCCCCAGAAAAACAGACGAGGATGTTGGATATTTCTCAGAAGAAGGACTGATGTTCTTAGACACTGCCTACTGCCTCTCCTAGAAGTGGATTATTTTAGGAACAGTTCAATCTCTAGTGGTAACTCACTTCTTTTGAGTTAATGGAAATACTTAAAGTTCCTTCTGCCTGCCTGAATTGCAGAGACATACCCAAAATCTATAATGTGATAGAGGAAAAATAATAGAACCTAAAGAGATAGTAGCTCTTCTACCAAAGAAAGTACATAATCCCTGGAATGGAAAATTTCCTTATATAGTCACCTAACTTATAATATCTAAATTATATCTAAATTATCTAAAAATAAAAATAAATAAAAATATCTAAATTATAATATCTAAATTATTTGATGTAAGGAGAAGGAAAAGATCCATGTAAACAGTGAACTTTGGATATGATTCTGCCGTGTCACTGATTTCTCTCCCCTTGGCCTAGTTGATTTGTCTGTTAAATATCAACTTTACTAGCAACAGTTTTCCTGCAGAAAGAGTACAGTGAGGAAAAATTTTAGAAATATAGGCTTCAGAATAAGAAAGATCTAGGTTGAAAATCCTGCCTCACTGTGAGTGATTATGTTGCTCTCTGAGTTTCTATTTCCTCATCTTTATCACAGAAATTGACTATAGAACTTAACCTCACAGGGGTGCTAAGAAAATGTCCTCAAAGCATATAGAGTACCTAATTGCAAACTTGGCATTTAGAAGAAACTCAAAATTTTTATCGATTACAATAAACAGCATCACTTCTCTACAGGATTCATTTTCACAGCCATTTCTTATCTCTACTGATTTCAGACGAGGGAATACATCTGCAAAGACATATACCCTTTAAACCAACTTTGTACATTATAAATGTACCACAGAAATTCTACTAGAAAATGAAGGGGAGAATTCACCTATTTAAGAATATGTAATTATTGTCAACAGTCAATGAGCTTCAAGAAGCACTTCTGGATTAATTAACAGTGACCCATAATTAAACACAACAGTACTTAGAGAAAGATCTCATAGTTCCAGATGATATTGTTTCAAGAATAATGAATGTTTATCATTCTTGTTTTCTTTCCAAATTGGTAGTTAGCAACATCATTTACTCGTATATTTTTAATTATAAATGAAGAAAATGAATAAGGTTTTGCTGTCAAAATAATCTTTTAAATGGTTGCCATTTTAATAGACATTTAATACTCTCATATATGATAGAGAAGATTTTTAAAAATTACTTAAAGCTGTATGCTTTTTTTAAGAAAACAATCTAGTTGAAATTGCTTCCATAACTTGAAATTGGAAGAAGGACACTAATGCTTCAAACCGCAGTTACAAGCATAAGTATAACCCAGACATATGCAATAAGAAAGAATTTTATTAGCATCTACCAGCATTCCAGTTCATATCAATGCATATTAGAAACATTTATGTACAAATTATAGATAAGTACTTATTCTGTTCAATCTTCACATAATTTTACCTAGATGGAATTTTACTTAAAAGTGAGACCTCTTTTATCGATAGTTCATTTCTCATTTTCAGATACACTGTCTCCAGTAAGATTCTACACCAATTTGATGATTGCAATTTTCTTTAGATATCACCAAAATAACTTACACTTAAAGAAATGAGCTGGAAGCTATTAACCTCTGCTGCCTCTACCCCACAAAAAACTACATTGAAGGAATTTTTTAAAATATAAAACCATGACAATAAATTGGATGAGAAAGAAGTCAACAACAATAGGGTTTTAGAATTTCTAACCAACAAAACAATTTAGGTTGTATGTACTAAGCCTCCTGCTAAGGAAATACTGAAAAAGTGGCTAAAATATAAAATCATCATATGGAAAAGCAAGGAGAGCTAACAGACTATGAGGCAATTCCAGAAGATTATGAAAAGCCCAAAAACAAAATAAGCAAGTTAGCTCAGTTGGTTACTTCTTCTCAGTGGTATTTTCTGATTTATAAGAGAGTCAGACACTGAAATTGTAATTTAGAAAATCTCTTGGAAAGGAAGAGACAAAAGTTAGCATACAGACTATCCAGGGACAAAGGTGAACACCAAGTGAGCCTTGCCTTGCCAATGTACTCTGACCAACTTCAACCACCACCTGGTGATGCCAGCGCAGTACGACCCAAGTATCTCTGCATCCTCAAGTCCTATCACTAAACCACCCAGCCCAGTTAGGCAAGTATCACCAGGAATGATGGTCAAATCTCCTAAGCAATGCTTGTTTGACCAAAATAATAACAATAATAATAGAAATATAGAACATTTATACCCCATGTTCAAGAAAGGGATAAGTCATCCAGACAGAGCAATCACAAATCACAGATCACAAATCATCCTGTTAATCGTCGATTGCCTCAAGCAGGCCCCAGTAACGTCTCCTCCATCCTAGCTATCTTACCTAGAAGTGGCGGTCTATGTTCAGAGACATGACACCAATATTTTTCATAAGCCTTATAGAACTATTAGACAAACTCTGTGTATCAATGACTAATTTTTTTTAAACTCGGACTTAAAATCCCAAAGCCATCCATATGTTAATTCTAGAACTAAAACAATTTATAAAGCAGCACATTTCAATGAGACAGCTCTGCAGTCTCAGGAGACTAACACATTTTGAATAACCACATACTTCCAGGGATAGCAATTAAGCTTTCTCAGTAGAAGTTCTTTGTGCATGTCATTTTGGAAAACATTTGACCCTGTCAGCCTTCTTCCCAATTTGGCAGAACTTCCCCTGTCTCTTTGTGTCACTGTAACAGGTGAATAAATACCAAAAAAAAAAAGCATTCCTTCTGTCCACGGACACTTGTTCACAATGACACTCAGGGTCCTAGACCTAGGTTGACAGATGCTCTTCCAGAAGGTTAATGAGATAAAGGTTTGTCCAGCTGGCCCCTAAGCAGAGATTACACCTGAGGGAAAGATAAGCAGATTATTCCAGAAACAGGCACTGTCACATGTTCTTTATAAATTAGCACCTTCATAAAGGTAAACCAAGAAGGTTATCTTCACCCAGTGGGCATCAATATTTAATTATTGTTCATATTTCTGTTTTTTTTTACTTTCTAAAATGAGATTTGAAACTGTTCTATGATTCTTGCCAGAAGTACTGATGCACAGAAGCCAGAAAGTATTTGGGAACTAGAAGGGCTATTTTTATTTTTTGCATTTTTCCCCAAGTTCAAGGAACCAAAGGTATGCTACTATATTTTTTAACTTTTAAAAGTGATTCTACAAAAATCTATTTCTAAATGTAAACTTGCAAAGCCAATATAATCACTGCTATATCTCAGTGGTTAGTATATGATAAGCCCTGATTACATGTCCAACTAAATAAATGATTATAGGAAATTATTTTCACTGATTTAATATTAACTACGTAATCTAACTACAACTTCTTAACAAAATAAGAAATGAGTGTAACTTATTTGCTCTTTAAGCATTAAATACAGATGTGTCATTAATATCAATAACTGATAACTAATGTCAATAACATTAAACCAATTGCTTTAACCCCTAAAGCTGATAAAACTTAAAATATAAAATTAATATTTCTTCATGTATAATTAGATAAAAAATTCTTCTATCTTCTAGTGAAATCTTGAGGTAATTCATCTTAGAAATTAGCAAACATAACTTAAAAACTAAGAAAGAAAGCATCTCTTTGTAGGATAAGCCTAATCATTATCACAGAGCCAACCATTTTATATATAAGTTTTTTAGAGTGATATATTGAATAAGTCTTTTAATTAAAACACTGGTTTGAAATGCTTTCAGAAAAGCAAAAAATAAATAATAATTATTGCATCATTATTATTATTATTATTATTATTATTGGGGGATCCAGAGAGAGAGAAGCAGAAGGAAAATCAGAGGAGATTGGAATAAATTGCAATTGATACTGACCAGCTTGGCGCTCATTCCTTCCTTCCCCAGACCATCGCCCTCAGCCTCCCTGGGGTGGGGGAAGCGGAGACCACCAAAAATGGGCAGCGAGAGAGATAGAGTGCCACTGCCCTTTAGTATTTACACACGTCTTTCCCAATACAACACACTCCATCAGAGAACCCCTTCCCTTACCATTGTCTCAGGGTCTCAATCTTATCCCTCTTGGGCTGGAGCGATGGCACAGCGGGTAGGGCGTTTGCCTTGCACGCAGCCAACATGGCCAACACAGGTTCGATTCCCAGCATCCCATATGGTCCCCCGAGCACCACCAGGAGCAATTCCTGAGTGCATGAGCCAGGAGTAACCCCTGAGCATGGCCGGGTGTGACCCAAAAAGCAAAAAAAAAAAAAGAAAAAAACTTATTCCCCTTGTCTCTCCACCATGGTTAGCTCGATTCTGTAGAGAGTTCTCAGGTCCTGTTGCCTTTGGCCATTTTTTTTTAATTCCCTTATTATGACTGAAACAGTAGCACAGCGGGTAGGGTGTTTGCCTTGCACACGGCTGACCCTGATTCTATTCCTCTGTCCCTTTCAGAGAGCCCGGCAAGCTACTGAGAGTGTCGGCAGAGCCTGGCAAGCTCCGCATGGCATATTCAATATGCCAAAAAACAGTAATAACAAGTCTC